CCTACGCCCCTTGTCGTGCCTTCGCTCCCCAGACCAGAGAGAGAGAGAGACCTGTGTTGACCCAGTATCATGGTTCTCTAAGAAGGTCACTGCACGTGAAGGCCACCAACCCATCACTCCAGTTGGTTTTCCTTGAGGGTCGATTAGTCTCCAGTATTGGTTGTGCAAAGCAGAATGGAGGATGCCCTGTTCAGTAAGTGTATCACGATAAAAGCATTGTATCACAAAATCCACATATCCTTTGATGTAACTGATCAACTCACAACTATGTAATATAAAAAATTTGAATAAATCGTGTCCCACCCAGAACTCTTTAAAGAAAGTTTCTAAGGGTCAAATAAAATGCAGTCACAAAAGATGGGAATTTTTGCAGTGTAGGGGTAATGCCTGGTTCATTTGTTGGTTTTGCAGAAAATTGGCACCATATTTAAGCTGCATGAGAATCCAATATGGTTAATATCATGTTGGTCGTCAATGGAACACAATTTCAACGTTTAGAACATGGTGGTTATTGGAAGCTCTCAGCTCATGCTTTAGAAGAAAAGAAAATAGCTCATGAGGTCTTTCCTTTTCTATCATACTAATTGCAATGGAGTGATCTGCTAATAGTGTTACCCTGATGGCAAATAAACCCTTACTAATGATTTATTGAAACATAGCTTCTGTCCTTCTTCAGTATTTTCAATACGTTACTTTTTAATTGGTTTCGTCACAATTTTCTGATCACTTTATTTTTCTAAAAAGCAGGATTGAAGTTTTAAGGACATATAAATTCATTATTGTCACCAAAGTCATAGGTTAAAATGTTGGTTTAATAAAAATAACTGTCATCACAGTGGAAGACTTTTGTGGGCTGCAATACATAGTTAAGTAAGCTTATATAAGGTGAAGGGTTTCATACACTTGGAACTTTGAGTGAGAGAACAACTCTCAAACACAAAATACTTTGCATCAGTAGTTCACATTCCTTGTCTAGGCAGAAATGACCATAATTCTAGTGCGTGTGCGTGAAAGAAAGAGGCAATCACAAAAGCAAACCTTAGATGTAACATCAAACGCAGATGAAGTACCACTGGTGGCATTAATCCAATTAACTATGCGTTGGCGATGAGCATCTGCATGTCAAAGCCCTGTTAGCAACTTTTTGGTGCCTAGCTACTCCTGAGTCATAAACTAATGGAAGTAGTAGCACTAATTTAGAACTTCGAAGTAAAATATGTTCCACATCTATGGCAAACTTGGAAAAATGACATTCCATATGTATCTCAGGTATTTACACTCTGTAAGCATAGTTTTTACCAAGAAAATAATCATATACTGCTTTTCCAAGAGGAGACCCTCATAGATTCATTGGGAGACTACATAAGAAACACTTGAAAGCTCAAGGAATTTATACAAATTGAAGATGCAAAATTTGCACCATGCTATAGATAGATATGTCTTTTTCAATCGTAAAAGACATGAAATCCAAAAGAGAAAAAAGTCTATGGCAGCATGGTTCCAAGCGGAAAATCCATAACTATCGTTCAGCTAATGTCAAGTTCATTGCAAAAGAACAAAGTGACAACCTTGATTATAACATAAATTGCCACCTTCATATGCCAAACTATCCCAATATTCTCCAATGGCAAAGGCAGGATTTGAGGCTTCAATGTATTCCTTAACATACCCTCCTGAGAAACCTCTGCAAAAAAGAAGAGCCAGTAGAACGAATTTCCTTTTGGTAGATGAAGAAATGAGAACAGATAATAAGATTACATATCCAATAGACTCTATACATGGAAAATGAGTGATATGATAAAGAAACATATATTTGTGAGGGTAACAAAATTTATCTTTTGCACCTCACAAAATCAAGGCGCCAGCCATCAAAACCAATTTCACTTCGAAGCCAGTTTAGCCATTCCTTGATATCTCTCCGTACAAACTCTTGGGAATGATCGACATTTGGTGCTGCGTGAAAAATATCACCTACACAAAGAATACCAAGAAATATGAAGTACAACTTAACAAAGGAGAATCCAGATTAGGACGAACCACCATAATATAAGGCTATTCTACAAGTCTTGCATCAAGTAGAAAACGTATTTCAACATTGCTAAGTATCATTTATTTTTTCGCTAACTTTAGGAAATTAATTTAATGGTCAAGGGGTAGAAGAGCTTCACATGTCCTTTGACAATGTGGCCATGGTGTAGAAGCATTTGATTTCAAAGTAGAACTAAGGTTCGAGTCTTGAAGAATCACCTAGATAGGAGAGGGGAATTTCACTTTAAAATTTTCCCACTAATTTTGCCCAAAAAGTTCAGCTGTTTGAAAAGAAAAAAGAGTTAAAGAGAGACATAATTATGGAGCCAGCCAAATTTTGCCTTTTTTGTTTGTAATATTTCTCAAATATTAAGAGAAATGGGCGACTACAGTTTACCTGACACATCTTTCCTCAATTAAGTAAATTAAAGTCCTATAAAAATTATAAAGTGAACATCACATTCCATCAAAGTTATGTAGATAAAGGTATAACTTTCAAGTATGGTGTCCATGAGAACTAGTACAGCGGCATACAACAAGGAACTTGTTCAAAATCATCGACATTCATTCGAGTCTTATCCCAACTACACGAATCATGTTCCACCATTTTGCTCTATTATGAGACATACCTTGGTTAGACCATAAGTCAACCTATCTTCTCACTATTTCAATCCATATCTTTTTGACATTCCCCTTGCTCTTTTAGAGCCTTCCACCTGAACCAAATCGTCCCTCCTAACCGGTGTTGTATTAGGTCTACGCAGCACATAGCCAGCCTACCTAAGTCTGTTTTCCTCATCTTATCACCTATTGGAGCCACCTCTAAGTTCCCTCGGATGTATTCATTCTGAATTTTATCCTTTCTTGTCTTGCTATTCATCCATCTCAACATCCTCATCTCAACTACACTCATCGTATAGATATTTTGTGTCTTGAGCTCCAACGTTTTGTCCCTTAAAGCATGGCTGGTCTTACAACCGTCCTATAGAACTTCTCTTCAAGTTTCATTACTACGTGGCAATCTTTGCCCACCCAGCTCTAATTCTATCACGACATCTTCCTCAAATTTTCCATTCTCCTGGATTATTGACCCAAGACATCGAAAATAATTTCTTGGTCATTAATTTTAACTATTTCCTTGTTTCTATTCCTATTATTACTAAACTTGTTCCATATATTCATTCTTAGTCTAGCAAATTTTAAAACCTTTAGATTCTAGGGCAATCCATATCCAATAAGCGAGTAGGTAGGCATCAATTTTATAATTTCCAAAAGCTAAGAAAGCACATTTTAGCATTCATCTAACAAGCAAAAATAAATAGCATTGCAAGTAAGATAGATACCACTTGAAGGATTTCCAAGCCCCTGGAAGTTTGGGTCATCACAAACAATTGCTTCAGGCCCCCATGCGAGTTTCCCCCCAAAAATATTCCACACGCCATTTGGACTCTGAAAAAAGTTTAATTTCAGATGAATGTAATTCATGAAAATCACTAATGAATATACACATGAAATGAATTTTATGCATTGAAGAACTATCCAGTTGAATACAAAATTCATTAGAGAAACCACAAGCAGAAGTTATTTCAAATCAACTTAATTTTAAGGCCGCTGCTAAGCCCCCTAAATAGATATTACAGAATAAATCCATAATAATTCCAGTAAAATAAGATGGCCTATGAGCCCTATTCCATTATTAGATCACAAGGAAAAGGCCAGTATGATGTGGACAACACAATATATGTGCCATGTCTTGCTTTTGCTCAATTATTACAAATATGGAACCACAAACAAAATATATTGACCAACACTCCACAGTAATATTTGGCATAAATTGCCACACTGAAGTAAGAAAATGAATTTATCATTACCAAATAAAAAAATGCACCTGTTTTTGCGCACATCGATGGTTAAGCACAACATCACCCAAAGCCTGTAAAAACAAGCTTCAAAATTAGGTACTCACATATGGATAAATGAAAAGATATCTATAGTTGGCAGAATAGAAAAGACACAAAACCATGATGCATGGATACTTAGAAAGTGGCAACATATCAAGGTCTAATACTCCAAAAACATATGTAAAATCACAAGAAGTTGATGTTTTAGATGTGCCCATAGCCACATTCACAGTACCGTGGCCTCAACCTAGGAATTACTGATAATTTCTCGAAAGGAAAGAAGACCGTCTAGCAGTCAAAAAAATTTGCTAAAAAATAAAAGGGACAATTTTATTTGCCTTTTATTACATGCCCTTCTTCCCATTGGACAAACTTTAAACCCCACTCGGAATTGCGTTATACCCACTTTCTCTCAAGGTGATGACTAGAAAGTCATCATGTTTTAAAGACATTACTTTCAACAAATACTCATGCAAGCAAACTTGACGACTCATGAATATGCAATTCTATGCAACCTCAGAATAACCAAGGAGCAAAATGCATGTCATGCATACTGTACTAATAATGACCAGTGAACTTGAAATACAATTGACAGCATTCCCATCGAAGGTCTGTAAAAACACACCAAAAGATCTTGACTATGAAATTCCTCTATACATTGCTTAAGCTCGTCCACCGTCCCATAAGCTGAGTTCAAATTGTACAGATCAGAAGGCATGTAACCTGCATCAAATACCATGTTATTAGTAACTTTCAATGTTATTAATAATTTGTTGCACTACTTGGATCCTCAAATGGACTTACATCATTGCAATGTTCTGTTCATGCAGATTCTTACTCGAGAAATATCAAACCATAATAGAAACATTTTAATGCATAAATCATGTCACAGAATGATGTTTAACATCAGAAAGTCAGTTACCTATGCCTCTAAAAGAATAGGTCACAAAGTGATTGAGCAAAAGAAAATAGCACCTAATCCATTAGACGTAGTAATTATGCAGAGGAATGCTCAACAAAAAATCAAAATTATCAAAATTCCAAGTGTATACCTTGTGGAGCAACTGATTCTGTAGGAGGTGGGAGCCACACAGCAGTAATCCCACAATGCGACAAATCAGCTGCTTTTGGAGCTAGTTCCAGGTACCATCTCCTCCTCGAGCTTTCCCAATTGAATCCTTGGAACTTCACATTGCAGCAACCATTAAAATAAGTACATGCAACACTGCACAGAAGAAAAAAAAAAGGAAAAAGAAAACGTAATTTCCAATCATCATCATCATACATTTATAACAATATGATAAGTACCACATACTTATATAGCACAAAGACACAAATGGGATTTATTAAAAACTGCCTAATGCACGAAATCCAAGTATCTCTTTTCAAAACGAGAAAACCGTGACACCAAATTGCATGTCATATAGTACAACAATGCAAGGCTCTTCTAACTAATAACAATACCTATAGGCCAAGAAAAATCAGTCAAAAACATATATGTTATCAAACAGCTTTTGGAAACTCATATTTGGAGGGATTTAATAAAGTGTAGCTCATAGCCTAAGGAAATTGCCCGTTGTAGATTCATTGTTCTAGATTGTTTTTTTTATTCTAGAGTTTTTACATGAAAAACCTTATGTCAAGAATTTTCCACCACATATGGAAACTGATTGTTAATTAAATGAAATCAGTTAAATTGTTGGCAGAATAAAAAAATCCTTAACTGGACCAAATCCATTTCGAAGACAAATTTATTGAGGACGATTTGAAAAGAACATTAAAAATAAAACTAAACCAAAAGAAATACCTAAAAGATTTGGATCAAAGTAGAAATCTGACTCAGTAAGAATTTCCAGCACAAAGTTACAATGCTCTAGGCAAGGTGGTCGGTACTTGGAATAAAACTCTTCATCCTAAGGATGGAGATTGGAGAAGGTTCCAACTAATAAAAAGGGTCATCCAACGTAAACAACTAAGCAAAAAGAACACAAGCACTTGAAAATCACCATGTGATATGACAACTGCAAAAAACTGATCAGTTCACGATAGTGATGGTACTGAAACAGCATGCATCTAAATGATGATAAAGAATAAAAGAAACAACACAAGCAAAGAAAACCGCTCAAACTATTGCATAAATTTAAAGTCCCCATTACAACAGCACAATTTCAATAAAACATGTCAATGGAATCCACAAAGTATGAATTCATACGTGTAACGTCAATTTGTACTATTAGTAATATACTTGATGGGGCACACAGCAAACAACCGTTGTCACAGAAAAAGGATGAAACCCTGGAACAGATTAATAGAATAACATTGAATTGGGAAATCATCTTATTTCTCGACATACAATACGGAAAAGTTGTTGGGTAGTAGCATCATCTTAACTATATAGCTTTCAAAGGAATACCCACCACAATCTCATGCCCAGTGCCAGTGCCAGGTTCTGCATCAAGATCACAATCCAACCCATGTTGACAAATCAACAATCTCATATAGCAAATAGCTGAAAACAGAAAAGGAAAGAATAATATATCCCTAGGGACTGCGGTTTTCCACAGTCCACTGGGACCATCACAGTCCAATGAAATGATGGATGGGGATTGAGAGGACAACCCAACAATGGCATGTCATGGGTCCCATTCTATCCATGACTGTCAATAATTTCATTGGATCCAATGGATACTATTGCCCATAGCCATTGATGACAGCTATCCCATCAAAAATTTCGTGTAGCTTACCCAATTTTGTGGGTTCAGGAATCCTTTGTCGCTGTATAGTTTTCCTCTGCAAAGCACGTTCCAAAGCTTTCCGCTGCTTTCCAATCGCTTCTTTCTCAATCACTTGCTTGATAAATGTGTCCCCTTGCTTTGGCTTTTCTTGAGCAATTGACCATACTTCCTCAGGTTTTGGCAAAGTTAAAGAAGAGGATGACACAGTCAATTCTTCAGGAATTGTGGTTTTCCTAGGTGGAAACTTGGGACAGATGGATCTAATTCTACGAGCCATCCATTCAGGAATATCTCTTCTGGGACCATCAGCCAAAAGTCTCCATCTCTGGGAATCATCTTCAGTCAAAATATCTAACCTTCCTCCATTAACCACAACGGTAGCATCTTGATCCTCTTCTCCCACCAACCTTCCCTCCTGTAACAGAGATTCAGCCATTTCAGCCCTCTGCCTCCACACATTGGTAGCAGCTTCAGAAGCCTTTAGAGATCGCTCTAGAGCCAAACATCTCTGCATATAAGCTCGATCCTTTAGTTCCATGGTTTTCTTGGCAGCATCAACTGTGGATCTTATGCCCTCTAACTCCACCTTCAAGGCCATGGTAGCGGAGGCTTCACTTTTTGCTGCTTCTTCCTTGAACTTCTTCAACAATGACTTTGTTGCCTCTTCTTGCTCTAAAAGCTTCCTTTTGGTGGATTCCTGAACTTCAGCTAGGGTGTTCTCCAAAGAGTTGGCACGTGCCTCTAATGAATTAGCACGAGCTTGAACCAACTCCAATTCAGAGCTCAATCTATCAACCTCATTTTGTTTAAAGGTTAGCTGCCGTTCCAATTCACTCATTGCACTTTGTAGACCTACATTCATCGAATGAACAGAGACCATTTCATCCACCACCTGCAACCCATCTGTAAGGGATTCCATGGCTCTCTTTGCATGGTCGCTGGCTTGTTGGGCTGCCATCAAAACCTTTCCCAATGTATCATTAGATTGTTCAACAATGGATGACAGTGTGTTTTCAGTAGTTGTTCTTAGTTGTTCTTCAATGTGATAGGCTGCCTCTGCAGCTGATGTTCCAGCTGCTGATACCCTCATTTGCGCATCCTCTAATATGTGAGAGGTGGATTGCTGGAAAGCTATCTCAGCCAGCTTCTCAACCTGCACCGCTAGCTCAACTGCATCCTGTTTTGCAAGAACCAACCTGGTTTCCAAGGCGATTTTTTTCGCTTATCCGTAAATGATAATTCAATCAACAAAGAAGTTTTTCAAAAAGAAGGAAAACTACCAACCACATTTTAAAGGCAATTTTCTTGATTTCTCTCTTTGTTAAATGTAATTTCATCAAATAATAAGTGTCTAAAAAAATAAAAGAAAGGTTTCTGTGTTGAATTTTTGTTATTCCTTTTATTTTGGGAAAAATGATAATTCAATCAAGTATAACGCTTTTCAAGAATAAAAGAAAAGAGCCAAATTACAAAACCCATTTCTTTATTTTTCTTTGTAATGAATTATGACTCCACAAGACAAGAAGTTTTTCAAGAACAAAGCAAACCAACCTGGTTTCCAATGCAAATTTCTCATTAAGCGAATCCTGAAGCTTGTCATGGAACAGGGATTTCGCGGCTTCAAGCTCAGCCACTGCCAATTCTCTGTTGCCATCTATGGTAGCAGCATATTCTTGTAACTTAGCTTCTGAAAGTGCCAAATCTTGGGTCAAGCGGTCTCTTTCTTTCTCAGCAGCTTCTTGCCTCAGTCTAGCCTCTTCCAGTGCATCATTGGTTGCAATAAACTCCTCACGAGTGATTTGCAAAACTTCACCATTACCAGAGCCTGATGAAACACCATCTCCTTCGAAGACAGTATCCGTTAAAATATCTTTAGAATCACCCTGTCACGATAATTTTAAGATTAAAGTGAACACGTAAAATATGAGAATAGTGAAATATATGTGTATGAACATACCATACTTGCACGTAATAAAGGTTGGTAGCCATCAAGACCTTTTTCTCTTTCATGGATTTTCCTGCACAAGTAAAAGCACAAATTTTATACAAATCACACAATTCAGTTGAATCTGTGGAACTGGAAAAGCGCAGTAAACTTTGTGGTACCTCCTATGATTTGAAGCATTTCTAAAGGCAAAAGAGTGATGCCATATGCAGAGATTTGGATTATGCAGCTTGGTGTTTCTAGGGAGGATGGAATGATGCGAGAAACTCCTCGAAGGGACACCAGGCCAAGCCAACAATGCCATTTTCTAACTGCCATCAACTCATAGTTGTTCAATAAAAGTCAGCAACAAATAAATTACAAAAAAAGTAAATAAATAACTACATATCTTGTGCTTTCTTTGACTTATTTTCCTGAAAGCAGCAGCTGTGCTAGCATTAAGCGAAATAGTAGTAATAACAAGGCAGAGACCGAAGCACATTAATAATCTTTATGAAAGTTAACATGTAAATAATAGGAACCATGTTAGCAAGTGACCACATCGTTGGTGTCATTTAAGTAGCATGTAGCAAATATTAGTTGAGGGGTTCATGATCCAATAAGACTCCAACTCTCCATCGATAGTAGTCATTGGAAGAGAAAGCCAGAGAGGAGCCAGAGAGTAAACTATTAATATTAACAGAACAGATCAAAACCTGGTGGTTGTCATTTCTTGCATAAGTGCAATGCCATCATGGTTGATAACCACAGGTTACACAAAGGAACACCTAAATTTAAGCCATTTAAATCATTGCTTCTGTTTTATGCCCAAAAGCTGATGAGATGTGGAATTGTGAAGAAACAAAAGTTAGAGAACTCTTGTATATAGAATGGTTTCTTATAAACTAAAAAAGAGAGAGAAGCCCCATTTACTGAGCAATCACCGACAGGGTTCTCATGGAAAGGAATGGCGATGCCATACTTTATTAGCAACTGTAATGTATATGTGTATACATGTACTAAAAGAATAAAATCTCCTTTCATTTTAGTGATAACTCATAAGTTTTGATGACAACAACAATCACACTTCTTCAAAACATTCCCTAGTTTTTTTCTCCTTAGAATTCTATATAAGATTCAGATGATATTTTTCGAACACCAAAGGTATCCAAAGAAATTAGAGATGATAAAAACTTCAAATTTGGAAAGAACAAAAGAAACCAATATCATATGCCCTTTTAAAAAAAACAGTCCGCAACTGTAATATATTAATGTGTCTACATGTACGAAAAGAATAAAACTCCTTTCATTTTAGTGACAACTCATAAGTTCTGATGACAACAACAATCACACATCTTCAAAACATTCCCTAGTTTGTTTTCCACTTAGAATTCTATATAAGATTCAGATGATATTTTTTAAACACCAAAGGTGTCCAAAGAAATTAGAGATGATTAAAAATTCAAGTTTGGAAACAACAAAAGAAACCAATATCATATGCCCCCTTAAAAAAAAAAGTGATAACAAACAGCCATAGAACTATACCAACAAATAGCATCTCAATAGATCTGAAAATCCAAATTCCTCATTCACAAAGCAATAACCACCACCTTATTGTATATGCCAGTGTTTGAAAACCCTTACTCAGGCTGGAATTCGCCAGGGTCTCAAGCCCGAGTCAGATGCTAGCTTGGCCTAGTTGGGACAGCCCTACTCAGCCGAGTCTTGACAAACCCCAAATAAAATTTTAAAAAAGAAAAGAAAAAAGGTCTTTGACTTGGGTAAGGCTCATCTAGTTTTTCGCATTAGTCACCCGGCCCAGGCAGGTACGAGTGACTCGAACCGGTGTGAGACCTAGTCAGTGACTTTTTTAATCACTGGAACCTTCTTGTCATGATTAGTTTCCATGGTGTGCCACAGCATATGGCCAAATAAAGTTGTCAAATTTGAGTTCCTCTCAACGTATAAACATCTAGAAGCATTGTGCCACAAAGAAACAATATTAACATCCAGTAAGTAAAATAACCACAAATCCACACTCAAACTTCATTAAGAATAAGATTGTGAATCATCAAAAGAAGAAGAAACAAACGAAATACCCCATATAAAAATGTAACCGCAATTTGAATTGAAATAACTAAAATGGCAATACATGTACAATCGGCTGGCTGTTGTTTTCTATCGTGTTTATAATCCACATCACAGAAGAAACAATAAGAAAAATCATAAAAAAAATGGAGCTTGCCAAGAAAAATAGCATGTCAAATTCAATATTTGGAACCAAATGTCACAAGATGCAGTAATGGGGTGCATTCAAAACTATATCGCAGGCTTTGATGAAATTGCAAGCATCTAAGAATGTGAAATCAAAGCAAATGCAAAATGATGGACATTATAGAACTCAATGCTGAGGATAAGTAAAAAAACTCAGAGAGAACTCAATTTGCAGAAGAGATAATATTACCAAAAAAACATTCAAAAGAAAAGAAAGAGATAATATTACCAAAAAACACATAGCAACTTAATTTGCTTTATCAGCAACGAGATAAGTTGAATCACATGATCATCGAAATACATTTCATCTCTCTCTCTCTCTCTCTCTCTGTGTGTGGACATGCTACATGATAAATTAATGGAAAAACAAGCAAGCAAACCTTGAGAGGTTGGTTAGAACTTCAGAAGAATCAATGAAAATTTATCAGCTAGAAAATGTAGAGAGAGAGAGAGGCTGCCCCAGCAGTTGCTAAAAGAGAAGAGAGAGAGAGAGAGAGCTGACCTGGAAGCATAAAAGGAGATCTGTTCATGTGTTTCTATGTTTGGATTCACGGAATATCTGGTGAAATCATGCTCCCTTTTTCTGCACTTTTTCATCTCTCTCTAAAAAATCATACCTCCTTTTGGCGCACGTCTCCATCACTCACTAATTGCGGTTTGTATAGAGCCGAGGCTCTAAACAATCAAAGTAAAGCACACATTCAAATAGTATCAAATTTTAGTTTCAATATTAAAAATCTTTATGATGGTCTTAAAATATATTTTTATCTTTAATATTAAAACTTAAAGCATAAAAAAAGAGTAGATTAAACAGATCTATGAAAATGTAAGAATCTTTAAAATTGACGGTCCAAAAGCATGTTACAAGATGCAATGTTCCAAAACTTGAAACCCATTTTTTTCTCATATCCATGCATCTTGATGTTGAGATGATCAATTTAAAGATATTTGAGAATCAAAACAACATCTTTTAATAAAATTTTTAAAGTAGGCTCTAATTTGATTATTTAGAGCTTCGGCTCTATACAAACTTTTCCCCTCGGGGTTTCTATAAGGGCTAGGCACCTCAAATCCTCATCAAGAAAATACTTTTCGTAACATAAATATCTTTGATGGCTCTAAAATTAATTTCCTATACAGACAATTAAATTTGAAACTCAAAAAAAGGTACAGATTTTGTGGATCCATGAATATTTATTTTTAAGGTAAAATTGACGGTCCAGATAATTTGTTATAATATATAATATTTTTACCACTTAAAATCTTAATTTTTTTCACAACCATATCGTTCAAGTCGAGATGATCGATGTAAAGGTTTTCCAATACGTGAATTGTAATTTGGATGAGTTATGAAGTGAGGCTTTACTTACTTTGAAAAGGCTGCATCCCTATCAGACTATTTTCTATATAGACATGGATGCATTTTTTATAAGGCTACCTTGAGCAAGAAAAAGTAAAGCTTCACTTCTTTCAAAATAATACTGGTAACTTTATCAAAATAAATCTATGATTTAAACTATTTAACATTTTACTTATAATTTTTTATCTGATTTTAAATCATCCAGATCAAATTTTAAATAGCCCATCAAATCACACATCAAAATGGGTATGATATTTATCAAAATACACCTATTGTAAAATGTTAAATAGTTGAAATATTAAGTGTATTTTGATAAATTTCTCAAAAATATTTAAGGAATTCAAAATTGAGAAGCAAAGCAACTAGAGTAACTATAACTATATCTAGCCTAGTATATTAGATTATTCCTCCAACTGAACTGCTCGAAAATACTCTCATATGTTACTATGAGAAAAGAACAATTTTATTTTCCCTTGGGCGAACCACTGTCAGGTTCTTTATATCTTCATGTTTAAAAAAACAAGATTGTTTGGGGATCAAATCTCATCAAATTATTTCAATCATTAGATTGTAATACATATAACTATTTAGTTTAGTAGAAGATGAGGGGGCATCTTCAACCTCAAAGACCAGTATCACATCATCACCTCACGCATACAGCTCTTTCCGTCGGTTTCTTTCTCCCCCTAAGCCTTCCTACCTTCCTGCTTGATTTCCCACCGTGCCTAAACTAGTGCCTCAACGCTAAAGAATTCTTAGAGAGAGAGAGGAACTCTTTTAGAAAATAATTGTGACCCACACAATTGTTATGGTGGTTCTTTCATTGTATATATAATGGGAATACAATGGTGTAATACATACTTTACTATCTTGTTGCATCAACTTTTCAAAAAGAAAAGAGCAATATTGTCTACTGAGACCTTTCCAAAAATTATAGATTTGGAATTTTATTTATATTACTCCCTCTCAAACTCGGATGGGGAGGCATTTGAAGCTTAAGTTTGAAGCATAGATCATGAAAAACACCTCGTGGCAAAGGTTTGGTGAAGATATCAGCTACTTGATTGCGAGAGAAAACAAAACGAGTGATTAGTAATCCAAGAGCAACATTTTTATGCACAAAATAATAGTCTAATTCAATGTACTTTATTTGTATATGAAAAACATAATTCATTGTCATGTAGAGAGCACTAATATTGTCACAAAAAAGAGTTGGTGGCTGAGGAAGAGGCACCCCAATATCACAAAGAATAAAAGAAAGCCATGACAATTATGCAGTAGTGGATACCATAGATCGGTATTCTGCTTCAGCATTAGAACGAGCCACAGTCGACTGTTTCTTAACACTCTAAGATATGCAATTAGAACCAAGATAGGTGCAAAAACCAGTGGTTGAATGATGAGTGGTTGGATACCCAACGCAGTCTGCATCAAAGAAGGCATATAACTCAAATGAACTAGTAGATAAGATTCTTATACAACAAGATTGTGTACCACTGAGATAATGACGGATCTGCTTAATTAGCTGCAAATGTGCGATTGTAGGAGGATGCATAAATTGACACACAATATTAACACTATGAGAAAGTTTTAGCTGTGTTATAGTAATGTATTGGAGTGCACCAACAATGCTCCAATAGAGAGATGGATCAGAAAATGGTTCAGAATTCCCCTGAATACTATTATTTATTTGCCATTGGTGTTAAATAAGGTCTGGCACCGAACATCTAAGCACGGCCAATAATATCCCGAGCATATTTTCTTTGTGCGAGCAAAATACATCCTGAAAAATAAGATACCTCTATGCCAAGAAAGTAGTGAAGATGTCCAATATCTTTCATGGTAAAATCCCTTCCAAGTTGAGAAATGTTGTTTACCAAAAACAATAATATTATCAACATAAAGGAGAAGGATAATAGTGCCTTGAGTAATGCGAGAAACAAATAAAGATGAATCGACTATGCTGCAATAGAATCTTATTCATAATAAATAACTATTAGATCGATCAAACCAGGCCCGAGGCACTTGCTTGAGCTCATATAAAGCTCTTTTTAATTTGCAGACATGATTTGGATATTTTGAGCTCACAAATCTGGGATGTTGTTTCATAAATACAGGTTATTTAAGAAAGACATGCAAGAAGATATTTGTCACATAAAGCTGTTTGATAGGTCAGTGGCGCACAATATATATGGTGAGAACAATCCGAATATTAGCAGGCTTAATAACATGACTGAATGTTTCAGAAAAATCAATTCCAGCAACTTGATTATATTCTTTAGCAACTTATCTGATCGTAAGTCTCTCTAGATTACGACACGACTTTAATTTCGTTTTATTGACCCAATGATAACTAACAACATTCATACCTAGTGGAGTTAGCTCCCAAGTTAAATTAACATGTAGGACTTCAATTTCTTCTTTTATCGCATGATGCCAAGCTGAATGACTCAAAGCAGACTTATTGGTTTTAGGTTCAAAAGGGATAGCTTCAAAAGTAGGAGCACTTGAGATTGCTGGCATAGATGGGAGAATTCGAGGTCCTCGAGTACCATCTTGAGATCTTGTGATGATGATGATGCTCAGAAGTTGAAAAGAAATTAGATCGGTTGGTTTCTTAAGTGGCAATGTTTTCATCACCATGATTGTGTGTTGTATCATCCTGAATATCTTGGATTGGTGTTGCAGGGGTGACATCTTCCTCTATAAGAGAAGTCTGAGAGTTATCAATGGTGAAGGGAAAAACTAGACCTGAGGGATTAGATACATCAAGGGCCCTCTCATATGGGTGGTTTATGTGGAGGTGAATCAGAAGAAGAATGAGTATGTATGTCAGGCTCATAACACTCTGACCATTTTGCATAGGTGGACAACTCTCCCGAAACCTGAGCACTATCAAACAAAGAATTGTGATTAGCATAAGGATATATATTTTCATCAAATACAATATGTCTAGAAATATAGACTCGTCGTATGGGTGGATGTAGACATCTGTAGCCCTTATGTTGGATACTATAGCCTAAGAATACACATGGAAGATAACATGGATTAAATTTGTTTGTAGCATAGTTTCCAAGATATGGAAAATACAGACAACCAAATACTTGAAGTGAAAGTAGTCTGGTAAGTGTCCAAACAATAATTTGTATGGTGAATCCATTCGTAAATTAGCAAGAGAAATTCTATTGATAACAAATACGCCAGCATGGAAGGCTTCAATACAAAAACGTTTAGGGATTCTTGCACGTTCCACAATATTTTTATGTTTCTTTTCAGCTATTCCATTTTGCTCAAGGGTTCCCGGACATGATGATTGTCATATGACTCCATTGTTATTAAGATGATCAACAAATTCTTTCTTAGCAAATTCACCACCTCCATCACATTGAAACAGTCGAATTCTTTTATTAAACATCCTGTCAACCATATAATTCATAAATGCAACGAAAAATTCAGACTTTCATTTCAAAGGATAAATCCAAGTAAAACGAATATAATCATCAACAAACACCATATAAAATCGATAACTTTGATTAGATACAGTTGGAGCATGGCCTCATAAATCTGAACAAATCTTACAACTAGCACAAACAACATAGGATTTATCAACACCACTAAAAGGAAGTTTACAACTTTTTTCCATTTGACAACTAGCACAAGCAGAGTGAGATTTATTCCATACATCAACATTAATCAAATGTTGAGATTTTAAGTAATGAACAACTTTACTCCGAGGATGTGTAAAACTTTGATTTCATATATCTCCCTTTCTACTGCCAGTGGCTAAAGTTCTTCATGTGCTCATTTCTTTAATTAGAAATCCATTTGAGGAGATTTAAAAAATACATAGGAATTCTGTTGTAAATGGACTAACTTATAACAAGTTCTTTTTCATTTTAGGCACTAAAAGAACATTAGAAACATTGAATTTTTCAAACTCAATATCAATACTTGCATCATCAATATGTGAAATAGTTAATTG